AGGGTGGTGGCAGCAGAGGAATGCTGATGATTGCGAGAGGAAGGTGTAGAATTTGCAGGAACAAGGTAAAATGCAGAGGATGGAGCGGCGGACGCTGGGGAAGGGAATTAGGAGTGACTGGAGGCTATGGGGAAGGAGGAGAGCTGGATAGCCAAAAAGGGTGGAGGATACATCACCACCTTAGCATAGGATACAGTCGGAGCATCACCACCTCCTCGTATACCGCTCACAAAGAGAAAAAGGACTCCGCATAGGAATTTGAAATCAACACAGCAAAAACTACTTCCTAACTTTAAGAATAGCAACTAAATAGACTCTTATATGAAGAAGAAAGGAACGAGATAAAGAAGGAAACTCCCACACAAAAGTAAGGGGTGAGGAGTCTAGAAATATTCAGAAGTTGGCTTTAAATATATTGCCAAACAAAGAAGACGCAAAAAAAGGAGGAGAGGCCCTTGTGGCACTGTAGCCCTTTTCGTAGTGCAATATTATTTTATTATTTTCTAGTACCATAATCTATATGATTTTTTTCAAAATTGCATAATTAAATAATATTTTTGTTGGTCCAATTATTATATTTTACTTCTAATTAACATGCTTATGCTGCTAGAAACTTAGATGTCAGTTGGATGCATGATGTTTTAGGGTCTAAGACTTTTGGAAATTCAAATTGGAGCTCAAAAAACTCCAATTAGATAATAAATTTTCTATGTGAACTGGAAAATACTTTAAATGATGATTTAACAATCATCTAAATCAAAGAAATTTATTGAGAATTTGAATTCTTCAATAGCTCAAGTTAATTAAGATTCATGGCGCAAATAACCTCTACTTGTAGTAGACTTAGCTGAAATCAGACACCACTGGCAAACTACTAATGAATTAGGAAGAAAAATGTAAGGAAAAAAAAACCTCCAAGTAGAGTAAACAGCAAGTCTCACCCTACTTAAAGGACATGACTTCCCATGAAAATTGATAATTATTCTTGGAAGACACCCAACAAATTTAACATCCACTTAAGCACGTTAGGTCTAGTAGAAACATGAATTCAGGGCTTGATGCTCCAGAATGATACGTTTATAATTTCCAAATTTTAAAAAGTTGTCCCCTTTGAATGACAACTCAGCTCAAGCATGTTCATAAAGCACAAATAAATAAATAAACAAATAAACGAAACAAACAATGAACCATCAGGTCTTAAGATTGATGCTGTAGTCATGTCACATAATCTGACGAATAGCGGCAATGTAGTTGAATCCTGTGAGAAGCATAGGATTTGAAGTCCTCATCTCCAATTATCATGAACTAAGCATGTGATTCCTGCATCTCTAAGTAGCCGGGTAAAGGAACTGTATGGAAAATCTCCTGCTGTCGATCTTTTGGTCTACAGGATTTAGATTTGCTACAACTTTGGTACCACAAAGAAGTTCTTCTGCCAAAAGCAGCAATAAAATGATACATGGCTGGATGATTCAAATCTATATCACTATCAATTACATGCATGATCATCTTTGTGCATCTTTCAACATTTTATCTGATCAGATCAATTCGTTTTGATGAACACCCCATCTTCTCTATACAATTATGCGTGCATTGTCTTGAATTTGCTACTGGCCTTCACAGATAAAAGGAATTGTCAAACAAAGTTCCCTTTATCAATCACTACAACAACAACAACAACAACGACAAAGCCTGAATCCCACTACGTGGGGTCGGCTACATGAATCCTTTTTCTCCATTGCGTCCTATTTAGTGTCATATTTTCATTTAGTTCTAGTAAATTAAGATCATTTTTAATACAATAAGCCCAAGTCTTCCTAGGTCTACCTCTGCCTTTCTTAATTTCATAAAATTTGAACTGCTTATCATTTGGTCCCACGGAGTTTGCAATAGATGACTGATATTGAAATTCTGTACTTATTGATGTAGTAATGCATGCTTGCTCCTATGCTGATTAAAAAAAATCAGTTCTATCAATTTCCTTTTGCCTTACCTCTTTTTCATGTCTTAAGTTCTGACCTTTCTTATTATATCTGTTTTTTGTTTTCTGTCCTTTGTCTAAACTGGTTAAATTGCTTAAAATGTACTCTACATGATGTGATTGAAAACTAGGATCCATCGGTTGTGTTCTTGTGGTTTTCCATGGATTTTTTTTTTTAGTAAAGGATTTGAAGCATCCATTCTATTTCAGCCGTGTGATAAAAATAAATAATGTCTCTTTTTTCTATTTTTCTTTTAATTTTAAGAAACTGATTTATTTATCTTTGATAGTTATAAAACATATTTGCGGACTACTCATTACCGTAGCTATTCTAGTTTGGCCCTTGTGGCATTAAATATTCTCTTCTATCCGAATTAACTATTTGGGGTGTACAGTCTAACCATGGGAGATAAAAAGAGCTAAATGTCTCACACTTTTTCTGTTTTATTTTAAGTTTTAAGGAATCTGATGGACGGGCTAAATATTCCCATGATAAAATTGTCATATTCTTTATGTATTGTTTTGTATATTCTGAAAGTATCTTTAGTTCAACTAGTTAGCATCTTCAGATTGGCACTAACATCATCAGCTTCATTCGTCTCTTTGGGACTGGCTTTGTAATTCCTCCTTCGTTTAATCCTGTTTAGCATTGCATGATGTGCTAGCTTTGCACGAGTCTTTTCTACTAATGTTATCTTTGGTCTACTTTATTTCTTTCTTAATCTTTCCGCGTCATATATTCACTTATATTTTTGGTTTATCTTTTGGATTGAGCTATACATTGCTTAAATCATTTATGTCTATTTTTCACCATCTTATCTTCAAGTAAACTATACTCCTACTATCCTATAGTATAATGTTTTTCTTCTTCATTTTTCTAGCTATATCACATGCATTGTAATATTCTCATTTCTGACACATTTGACTAGGCATTTATTTTATTTTGTTTCCAAAACTTCTTGTAGTGTAGTCCTTCTAATTACGATTTTATTAAGTTATATTGAAATCTCCGTGATATTTAGTTATTTTATAATATTTTTTAATTCTACAAGTTATGTCTTGATGTATATCTACATCTTTTATTTGAAATTATGATCAAGTGTATAGTCCATTTCCATTGGATGTTTATAGGTGAGCTCCTATAGGTTGCCCAGTTCTTAGAGATTTGAAAGTTCGACAAGTAATTTGTGCTGTAATTGATTTTAATCTATAGCTTGATGCATCTTTGGAGAAACGGAAATTTGTTTCCTACTTCATCTTCGTTTGGTACAGCTGATGCTGTTTAGAAATTCATGTTTATAGTTGTGAAAAGCTGATCTTGGAAAACTGTTGATTTCAGAATGCTATAGCATATTCCTACAGTTGAGTTGCTGTTTTTAACTCGAGAAGTTTTTGACAGTTGGTTTTAGTGTTTTAGGTGTTGTAAAAAAAAAAGCTGAATTGCCGCATAACAACAAACCGAATTGAAGAAGTCTTGATTTGGTTTTAGAATCTCAACATATTTAATTTCTTGTTAAGTTTGGTTGGACACCTAAACCAAATTTAATCCGCCAACTTGGAACTTTATCAGAATGAGTAATATGCTTTATGTTTAGCAGGTTATGTTGGTTGGTTTCGGGTCAGTCGGGTTGAAGGCATAACTAATTTGGGCTTGATTTAAAGGGGCATGTTCTAGTCATGAATATTCAAGTCAGGTTAAATTCAGGTCAGACCTTTACCCAACCCATTAACCCGACTTTTATATCCAAAATAAAAGTTGCAGAATTCTGGTTGCCCGTCAAATTCATTGATAGAAATTCATGTTTTAACATCACCTCCCAATAACATTGATAGAAATTCATGTTTTACCTTGGACAATTTCTATGCCCTTGATGTATTATCCTACATTGTCATCTTCCATGCACCAACCCTCGACAGCCCTCCATCAATGTTATTGCCATTGTTGACCTCAACAATGCTGACATTGTTTGGTAGCTCATGAATGCCAATCTATTCCATATCAAATCCAACTGATTTTTTTGGTGTACATCCAAATGTCTCTCATTTCCCTTCTCGGCAGATTAACTGTCAGTGATAGATGATTTGCCGGCTTTTTCCTTCTGTCATGAGTGCTATGCATGCATTTACAGTATCTTAAGGACACAAATGTGATAGAAGGGAAGGACCATTTATGTTGTACGTTATGTAATGGAGGAACACAATAAATGAAATGCAAAATGAGATGATGATCTCGCGATTGAATTCATTTTTCATCGAATGCAGCCTCTTGTGTAATTCCTATTGTACATAGAATCCAAATAGGTAAAAAATTTAAATTTTGTTTATCAGAAAGCAAACTATGTAAAATGTTTAATCCAAATGAAGCTTGAATTTCTTCATCTTCATTCGTTGATTTCAGAGATAGTCTTTTATTATATGTTTGAAAAATACTGCAATAGTGCCTGTTGGTTTTATCCCAAATTGAATCTTGCTTTTTTGATGCCATACCCAAGACATACTGTACTTATTTTGTTTGTTTTTTGTACTATGAACTTCATTAGTGTTGTAAGTTTGTAGTTATTGTTTCTTCATGATTAAAAATTTTAGATCTTTGATATATAAAAAAAGTTGAGCTTCTCATAAATAATAACACGTCACTTAAGCATTTCCTCCCTGTTTGGACATGTGAATACAGGAAGAATTATATTGCTCTAGTAAAATTATTATCTTCTTGGCCATGCTTGAGCTCATTCTTATTGATTCTGATGTCTTTTACCTTCACATTTTCACTAGCCCTACTCCTGTTCTCGGCAACACAATTCACATACAAGATGTAGGATTGTTGTGTTGTGTGGAGACTTGGGGAAAGGTGTGTTTTCCTTCTAGTATGAGGGTGAGGCAGTATATTGAACACCTCCTTTTCTTCTATTTGATTAAATTATGAATACATAACACCCATCATTTGTAACTTTGTTTTAAGTGATCGCGCTGTTACTAAAATTAACTTCAACACTCTTTTTATTTTTTATGAAAACTGCAGGAGTGTTTGTGTGTTCTTGTTTGTGATGATTCAGATGTCGTGTCTAGTGCTGCTGAAGATTCCCTCAATTCTCTATTCATTTCCGGCAAGAAAATTTTAAAGAAAACAGATTTTTCTGAATTATTTATGAGGTGAGAGATATTTGGGCTTATTGAGAGAAACATAGTGTTTGAATAGTTACTAAGTTATAATTCTTGACAGGTTACTAGAAAAACTTCCGAAAATGGTTTTAAGAAGTGAAGAAATAGCTGCACTCTCACATGCACGGAGATTGCTTGCATTAATGTACTATGCGGGTCCAGACCTTGTAGTTGACAACATTTTCTGCTCACCTGTAAGTATAGGAATGCCATGCAATATTTGGTGGGTGATACTGTTTATTTTTCTGTTGGAAGCAAATTGGTATCTCATTTTCTAGCACATAGTTTCTTCTAATTTTTTAGTACTTATCTTTTTTTCGCTGCAAAAAACGTTCACCTTACTAATATCTTTTTCTGGTTCAAGATGAGCATTCTTGCGCATAAGATACCATTTCTTTTTTCATATCCATAGGAGACTTCCTATAGTCTTAAAAATGAGTTTTTTTTAAATTTTTTTAACAGCATAAAGGAAATATTCGATAGGATTTGAGACGTTATTTCACATAAATCAGGGTACAAAATATTTTTATTTTAGAAACACCAAACAACTCAACATGAATATATAAAGATAAGCACATATAATTCGAGAGGTAGGAAATCTCTCCCGAACCGTAACCCTAAGACTTAAGACCCAATCTCATGTATTCTCCTAACCCTAAACTACTAAGCTCTACTTATTTTCAAATAATAATAAATAATAATAGACTAATTGCTCTTAGGCTGAAAAAAGACAGAATTATTCTTAGTTTAGGCAACAACGTAACAATAACCCCCCCCCCCCCCCCCCCCCCCAAAAAAAAAAAAACCCCAAAAAATTCCTTAAGATGGGAAAAATTGATGTTGGATCAAGTCATGTGTCTCCCGCTCGTAACCTAGCTTGAGTCTGGTTCTCGCTGTCAGCACTGACACTCTCGTCGTAGCTTTCTTAAATTTTTGAAAAAGTATGGGTAGTTATTTTCTCCCATTGAAAGTTATCCTTCAATTTCTTCGTCTACAACCATACAATTGAATTATAACCCTTCATGAACTTCTGGTAGTTCCTGTAAGTCCCATAAACTTCTCAACCTCTTCCAAGCCTTAGGTAGTGGCCCCTCCAATCTATCTGCCACCTTCTATGGATCCGCTCACGCCAGGATCTTGCACAAACTAGAGTTGCTACAAAGCACCATTCTTTTATCTCCCTCCTGAAACTCCATGGTCAAAAGCTTTCTATTCATCTTAGGTTCCGTTTGGCGCAGCTTTTTGTCTGCTTTGCAGTATGAAAACGCAATTTGGCGCTTTTGTTTATCGCGTCAAAGGTGAGTTTAATGAAACACGTCTTCATTTTTCCACGTTTTTGCGCTGTGGATGGGCACCTGCGGCCCGTGGTTTCGATTTGTTTAATGGCAAAGGCATCCCTTTGTCATTTTAAAGTCGAGCAAAGGGCAGCTTATCCCTCGCGCCCATTTGGTTGGGACGAAACTTTCTTCTATAAGAAATGAGTCCTAATATCGATTTTTGCATCTCTCTTCAAGGTAAACTTCATTGTCTACCTCACAGGAATCCTCACATAGTTCTTTTCGAGCGAGGTTTCCAATCCATTTTCCAAACCTGAGATTCATCCATCTTGCCTTTGGAGGCATTACCACGCTCTCGGTATCGCCGAGGCAACTGGTTCAAAATCGAACCTCAGAGCGTGTCTTCCTCAGGAAAACAAAAATTTCGTTAAAGAAGTCAGCCCAATGATATATAAAATTCACTTGAGTATCAATAACTCTACCGTAGAAGCTTACTCTTTTAAGCTCAAACCTTCTATCATCTAAATGGTTCGGAACAACAGGTTGATGGATCACCCACAAAAGACCCTAACCTTCCCTTAACTAGTTTCTTAGAATTAAGTCACTTTCAGGTATAATGATATTTCAAACAATGTCGTTAGACTAAGGCTATTTCCTTTCTCACCAAGGGATAAAGTCAATAAGTGACTACTTCTTAGCACTAAGATCGATTATCTCTTGGAATGATATAACCCAAAATTTTCTGGCCGGAAATTTTCATCCATCTAAAACTGTCAAAGTTATGAACGATGTCACATCATTTGCCCAGTTAGATAGAGAATCCGTTTATGAAGCTTGAGGAAGATTTAAAGAACTGCTTAAGAAGTGCTCACAACATGTCTTGCTTGATTAGCTTATCATTCAATTTTTTTACAATCGGCTAGTTAGATCATAAGATCAATTATAGATGCTATAGTTGGGGGTCTCTTATGTCCCCATTTGAGGAGGTCTGTTCACTGATTGAAGAAGTGGCTATGAATAGTTTTCAATGTCTCTCCAAGGAAGGTATCCAATGTCCATGACGTGGATGTCTTAGCAATCCTAACTTCACAAGTTCTTGCAATTTCTAGTAAGTTAGATAAGTTAGAACAAATCATTTGCAAGGATCTCTACCAATTGATAATATAACTTATGGACTAATAGAAGATTATAACACTATTTCTCTAGAGATCCTAAATGGCATAAGAACTAGAGGCAACAACCCCTAATCTAAACCATATAATCGTGGATGGAGGAAATGCCCAAATTTCAGTTGGAGTAATGATCAAAATGTAGGAAACCAAAATTGGGGTAGCAACCAACCTAACTCTTCAGGAAATTGAAACAATCAAGGAAATAATTTTAACCCAAGACCAACTTATCAACCTGGATTCACTTAAAATCCTCAGTTTAGGAAGAAGAAACTATCTGTAGAAAATCTGATCGTGAATATGACGAGTGAGATATAAATTCATACAACAAGCAATTATAAGAATATTGAAATAAATAGGGCAAATAGCTAACTCATTGAGTTAGAGACCTCAATGGATGTTACCAAATAACGCAGAGGTGAATCCAAAAGATCATAATGTGGAGCATTGTAAAGCCATTAGATTGATAAATAAGAGAAAGTTGGAAGACATCCTTTAGAAGGAGAGTAGTCCCTAATTATGTGAAATTCATGAAAGATATCCTTAATAAGAAGAGAAAACTAGAAGATTTTGAAACTATTTCACTGACTGAGGAATGTGATGCTATCTTGCAAAAGAAATTGCCACGAAAGTTGAAAGATCCAAATAGTTTTACCATTTCTTGCACAATAGTGGATATATTTTTTTGAAGAGTTTATGTGATTTTGGAGTTAGTGTCAACTTTATGTTATTGTGTGTCCTTGGGAGATTAGGATTAGGTGAAGTACAACCTACCACTATATCCCTTCAGCTTGTAGATCAATCTTTGACTTACTCTAGGGGGATTATAGATGATATTTTAGTTGAGATTGATAAGTTCATCTTCCCAAAAGATGTTGAGATCCCAATCATACTTGGTAGACATTTTCTTACCATTGAAATGGTAAATATTTATTTACAAGCAGGGGAGTTAATCATGAGAGCTTTGGATCAATAAATAATTTTTAAAATTTATGCTTTGATTCAACCCCTTGTACATCCTCCAGTAAATCATAATAGCCCTGTAACGCTTTATTTTAGAAAGCTTGCTAAGTACCACCAACAACCACCCCATTCCAACACCACCCCACCCACCCCCCCCAACCCGCCCACACCCCCCTGTTTTGCTTGATAGCATATTGCTGCTACGCGTACTTTTCATTTGTTGTTAATAGTTTTATGTGAAGTGGCTTGGAAGTTGGCTTTAACAGTTAAAATTTTAAATATAAATTTTTGTTATTTTTTTAGCATGGCATATTGACATTTCGAGTATATCTGATAATTTGACTTCCAGATGAAGGTGGCTCGTTTCTTGGATTTTTTGATGCTTTCTTTTGGTCATAATTCACAGTTTACTGGTTCCATTGATAAGCTTATTTCTTCTAAGCCACTCTCAGTTGGTTATCTGCTCTCAGTTTCTGAGCTGAAGGCTGCCTCTCTTTCTGGTGATTCAAGCCATGTTATCAATGGTGATGCTCTTCCTCTTGTCTCTGAGATGCCGATGGGAAGTTCAACAACGAACATGCCTGGTGATTATGAGTTTCCTCGCATGCCTCCTTGGTTCTTAAATGTTGGGAGTCAGAAATTGTACCTGGCTCTTGCTGGAATTCTTAGACTCGCTGGTCTGTCAATTATGGCAGGTATAATTGTTTATATATAAATGTACCTTTGGCAGTTTGTGTTCTGATTTTGGATTTTCCTGAAATATTATAGAATGCCCATTTAAGTAATTATAATATTTTCATGTAACTATGTTGAATCTTAATTGGTGTTATGGATTGTTACTAATAATTCTGTTGAATTTGACTTGGTTCTGTTTTTCTTATGTTGAACTTTTTGATAGGTAACAGAAGTGATGTATCTCTATTGGGCCTCATTGATAATCTTTTGGAACATGTCAGGAAACTCATTTCTGAACTCAGAATGAAAGGATATAACAAAGAAGGCTGGCAATCGTGGTATTCCCAAGGTGGTTCGGGACAGTTGCTACGCCATACTAGCACTGCAGTTTGTATGTTAAATGAGATTATATACGGATTGGCAGACGATTCAGTTAGTTCATGTTTGAAGTTATTTAAAACCGAGACAAATGTTGAAGAACAGAAAATGGAATTTGTTTGTGATAGTGATCAACTTTCTACTTCCAGAAGGTCAGCTTGGAAAGTTCATCAAGGCAAGGATGCTAGAGAACACATAATTCATTGTGTTGGGAGTATTTTGCATGAATATACATCATCTGATGTATGGGATCTCCCTGTACATCCAGCTTCTTCTCAGCTAGATCCTGACTCAGTAACAAACCTGTCATTTTATATTTTCAGGGATTCTAGAATGCTCCACCAAGTATTGATTCTCAACCGCTTTTTGTTAATTTCTGATCCTTGGGGTATTGTTGCGCTCGTACAAAATTGTTTCCTAGTTGTATTCTGATAATTGGACCAACCCAATTTCCTACGCAGGTAATCATTGAAGGAATAGGCATCTTTAGTAAGGTTATTGGGAAGGATTTTATAAGCAGTGGTTTCATGCACTCAACCTTGTATTTGTTGCTTAAAAATCTTATTTGCTCCAATGGTCTTATAAGAAATGCATCCGATGCTGCATTGCATGTCCTTTCAGCTAATACTGGCCATTCTACTGTGAGTATAATCGTAATAGTAATTTTGAAAAATTAAATGTTCTGTAATGCCGCAGTAACTGTATGCTGTAATAGGTAGGCCATTTGGTTGTAGCAAATGCAGACTATATTATTGACTCCTTGTGTCGACAATTAAGGCATTTGGATCTCAACCCTCATGTTCCTAATGTACTTGCTGCAATGCTGTCCTATGTTGGTGCTGCTGATGAAATTTTACCACTATTAGAGGAGCCGGTATAATTTCTAACTTCCACATTATCAAAATTTAATTAGCTTGCCTTTTGCTTGGAAACCTAAGTTAACTAGTATTATTATTTATCAATCTTTGCTAGATGCGTGCTGTTTCATTAGAATTGGAGGTCCTTGGTAGACATCAGCATCCCCATCTAACTGTTCCATTTTTAAAGGTTGGTCTTTTACGTGCCTTTCATCTGCACTGTTACTTTTTAATTTCCAACATTATCAGACACAGGGAGTACTTTCATGGATTTATCGAATAGTTTATTTTAATTGCAACTATTACTATAGCAAGATGACCCATAAAGCCTGTACTTGAAAATTTTTAGTTAATATAGCATTTTTTTTACAAATAAAATCTGACGTTACTCTAAAAAATCCCATGATTAATGCCATGTTCTAGTAGAATAAATGAAGAGGGCGGGCCTAGAACAATGATCAAGTTTTCTCTAGTTTATTTTGGAGATCCTAGGTTCGAGTCATGGGATGGAAACTCCTTTTTGTAAATGTAGGGTTAAGATTATGTTATCAGTCACTTTCCAGACTTTGCATTTATGGGAGATCATGTATGGTGCTTCCTTTTGGTTCCAGAATAATGAAAATTGCTTTTGGTCCAAGAGTTTTAAGCATTTTGTTTTGCCACTTGAAGTTGGAATCAGTGATGATATCGAATCAATCATGAACAAGCAGGGATCATTTAGAACCTGAACTTTTTTATTCAACTCTAGTGAAGTTTTAAGTTTAAACAATCAATTCCAAGTCAGAATTTGAAACTAATTAGGGTTAAAGGCTATTAATTTTATAAGATTATTTTTTAATTATTGATTAGAAATATATATTTGTTTTTATATTTGTGTTTGATTGTTTTGATAAATTTATAAATTATATTTGTGCAAGTGTGTATATGCATATGTATTATAATATAAATGATATTTATGTATTTATATGTGAAATCATGTGAGTGTTTGTAATATACCATATCAATTTCAAGTTGCATAGAGCTAATTCCGATAAGCCATCTTAACGTATCTATTTTGATTGACCCTATTGAAATTCAAAAGATTATCAAGCAAGTTTTATACAACAACAACAACAACAATTCTTTATCCCACTAAGTGGGGCCAGCTAAATGAATCCTTTTTCTCCATTGTCATATTAAGTGTCGTATTTTCATTTAATTCTATCATATTAAGGTTATTTTTTTATACAACATGCCAAAGACTTTTTAGGTCTATCTCCACCCTTCTTGTCTAATCTAAAACATCTACTCTCCTAATTGGATCATCAGATTGTTGATGTTTAATGTGACTGATGTTTAATGTGACCAAACATGTGACCAAACATACTAAGACGACTCTCTCTAATTTTGTTTGCCGCTAAAGCTACACCAACCCTTTCATAGATATATTCGTTTCACATTTTGTCTCTAAGTGTCAAGTCACTCATCTACGTCAAGTCACTCATTCTCTAAGTGTCAAGTCACTCATCTACCTAAGCATTCTCATCTCAGCAAAACCTAGTTTTATGCTCCTCTTTTATAGGCCAACATTCGTTGCCATAAATCATTACAGGTACACCGCCATCTTATAAAATTTTCCTTTTAAGTCCAAGCGGTACTTTTCTGTCACACAATAGACTCGATTCAGTCCTCCACTTCAACCATCCAACTTGAATTCTACTAATAACATACCCATCTATATCACCATTAATTTGAGTAATAGACCCGATAAATCTAAAACGTTCACTCCTTTTAATGATTTCAAGCAAGTTTTATATTAATACATAACTATGAACCCCTAATGGCAACCGTGCTAAGGTTTGAAGTTAGACCTTCAGTTGCCAATTATGCCGAAGGCCTTCAGCATCCTCTGAAAAATATAAAATGGTAATTTTAAAAAAAAAAGTTAAAACATGAAGGATTTGTCCTGATCAAATATTTAAGAAATAGCATAAAAATTTAATTGTTTTTCTTTAAAATTCAAAGGTTAAAATGTTACTGGGATATTACTTTTATTTCTTCTGTCATTTTTAAAAAATTTTAGAAAATAGTGAATTTCTTGTTCTCTTATAATGGTGTTATCTTCCAATATACATAATCTTTTTTATTAAAATTTTTTTTTTATCCCTTTGCTTAGGCAGTGAATGAAATTTCAAAGGCTTCGAGATCCGAGTGTTGTAGGTTGCCTAGTGTAGCCGAGTTATTTAATACACATAGCATGGTGAATGTTTCTTCTGCTCTAGATGGGGAAGAAAATAATACTTCAATAAATATGCCAGGTAGTTCTTTGTCAATATTATTTATTTACTGCATTTTCTTTGTTCAGACATCTGATTTTCTTGAACCTGTTATTCTACGCTGCAATGTGCGCATTATTATTGTTTTAACCAAGCTCTGAATTTTGTGGATATTTTACGATTTTGATGTAAGATATGTTAGATAAATTAAGGTGTACATAGTGGTTAATATTTCTCAAGATAAAAGTGTTGGCAAAAGAGGGATACAGCGTACGTCAGGATGCTCCTCCAATAAAAATGGTCCATGCCCAAGTTAAAAGCATATTGTGAAGGCAATGGCAGAACCATGATTGTCATAATGGGGCAGATAAAAATTTATTTTAATGAACAAATTAAAAGAGCAAGAGGGGTGAAGTTTCCGTTTTAGATATATACATCATGAAGGAGGTTTACCTTAAATTTAGGGTTGGCAAAGGCCACTCATCTTAACCCAAGCTCTTTCATGAGGTGAAGGTAATCATTTTTATATGGTTTAGAGTGACTGACAAACACGAACGGAGGCGGGAGACGCGAGTGGAGGTGGGAGCAGTTCGCGTAACAGCAAGGGTCGCGGGAAATGTCGCGACAGTGGAGCAGGAGTTTCGCGATCGGCGCAGGGAGGCGGGAGCGAGAAGCTATCGGACGGGGCTCCACACTAATAAATCTCCCACTTGGAGACCAATACACCTGCTACAACGTCTTCTTCCTCGAACTGATATTCTTCATTGGCGGTGTCACAATTTTCTTCAAACGTGAATCCTCCATCACTGCAACTCAAAGCCTCTGTCTTCACTCTAGAAGACCAACTGAAGTTGTGCACAACTTCAGTTTTTTAAGAGTAACATCCTCAGTCAACATACCTTTGCACCTCCAAGCTATTTCCTGGATTACTCTTGTCTATGCTTGCAACTCCCACTGCATGGGCAATATTCTGCGTCTGCTGAAAGTCTTTTTCAACAAGTCTAGTCTTGTACCTCTTACTGCCATCAAGCTCAGTCTTCACCCGGTACACCCACTTGTTGTGTAATGTCTTCTTCCCTGATGGAAGTTCTGCTAGCTCCCACTTGCTCGAACTTTTACCTTGCAAGATTTCTTCATAACTCTGTGGTTCTCCACCATATATCTGTGGAACAATAGGAATTGGTACCCCGAACACACTCTCCTCTTCACTATCACCATCAACAGAACTATGAACTGTCAGCAATAGTGCATCATGTACTTCTTCAGATATCACATTTGTGCTATCATTCTCCATCTTCTTAGGATTCCTGCAGTTTCTCTTTATGTGGTCGGCCTTGCCACAATTCCAGCAGATTGCCTGTTGATCAGACTTTGATTTTGATCTCCTTCTATTTGAGTTACATTCATTTCATCTCCCTCTGAAATCAACATTTAGTGCCGAACTCGAAATCAACATTCAGTGCGAACTCGAACCTGAGATCTCTCCAGAAACTTTTCTGTGCACCTCCTCAGCCAAAATCAAATCACGAATATCATCACATTTCATGTTAAATTTACCTGTAAAACTGCTAACTGTTATCCTCATGGTTTCTCAACTATTTGACAATGATGCCAACAATAACAACTCACGTATCTCATCATCAAAATCAATTTCAACAGACGACAATTAATTTGTTATAGTATTGAAATCATTCAGGTGTTGAGCAACAGAAACAATTTACACCATCTTCAAGTTGAATAACTTCTTCATCAAGTACACCTTGTTATTCGTCGATGATTTTTCATACATTCCTGATAAGACTGCCATAAGATTTACAGTCGTTATTTTCTTAATGACATTGTGTGCAACGAACCTCGATAGGGTCAATCGAATAACCCCCAGAACTTGTCGATTCAATAAATTTCATTCAGCCTCATCCATCCTTTCAGGTATTTTCCCAGTAACGGAAGATAAAGTTTCTTCCCATAAAGGTAATTCTATCTCTGCATTCTCCAATAACCAAAATCTGTGCCATCAAATTTCTCGATCCCTGAAACTTTCACTTCATCTGCAACCATCATTCTTTCTCAGATCCAAAACAAAGCTCTGATACTAGTTTTTGTGAACTATATACCAGTTGTTGTGGTATATATATAGAATTAAAATAGGAGAACGATCTTTGACGAAGCCAAAAATAGAACGAGAAAAATCACACCAAAAAACAGTAACACAGCGGAACACACAGATTTACGTGGTTCGGCAAATTGCTTACGTCCATTGTATATTCTCATACATCAGTCAATCACCTCGACTTACAAAAGGAATCTCTCACTTTATTGCTCTCTCTGTTCTTCTCTCTCTACACCGAGATACATCGAAGAAACTCTACACCGAGATGCACCAAAGAAGATAAACTTACAAGAGAAATAAACCTAATTTTTCTTCAATCATAAGCCACCAAGAAGAAGTCAAGGGAGAACAATCTTCTTCTTCTTCTTTCTTCTTCCTTCCCCGCAAGGAACTACTGCTTGCACTTTCCTTCCTTCTATCCTGAGGAAGCCCGAAGAAGAACACCAACCGTGACTTTTGAACTACAGGAGGCCGCTCCTTTTCACGATAAAAGGAGGCGAAGCGATGCTTCCGGGCTAAGGAAAGGCGGGAGACACGAACGGAGGCGGGAGCGGCTGGTTCACGTAACAGCAGAGGTCGCGGGAGTTTCGGGATCGGCGCAGGAAGGCGGGAGCGAGAAGCGATCGGACCAGGCTCTATACTAACAGTATTGACAACTCAGGAGATATTTGAGTATTTTATTACTATATTCCACATTTGTGGCCTTTTTCTTTCTGTCTCTTATTTTTATTTTTCTTTTTTTTACTTGAAGAAATTCACTACTTTAATATTGAATCATCTCATCTCCCCATTGCTGAGTTAACTGAATGTTGATTGTCAGATAAAGATATTCACATCATTTTGTTCAACAACTCCTGTTACCTAGGCTGAAGGAGGCCCCCGCCCCCCACCTATTCCCTTCCAGAAACTGTACAGCGAGATAATAATGACATCATTTACTGAGGCACTTAAAATGTTCAAAATTATATAAAAATTTAAACAAATTAATCATACATGCTAATGCGTGTTTTTATTATTTCACATTTCTTAATTTACCTTTTTTTTTGCATTTGAAATTCTTGATTTACCTGTTGATCGATTATACTATATTTTCTGTCCGTAGACTTCTATTGATTTAATATTTGTTAGTTCGTAAAATTTTTTTCATATGGTATAATAGAGCTATTTTTTCTCTTTACATATCTCATGATAGAAAGTTTTCATTGATTTTAATGACCTTGAACGAGTAATTCTTATTTATATGACCGATTTTTTATGATTTAGAAAATGGTAATGTCATGGCCATTCAGCTTCGCTTAGAACACTTGGAGAAATTATTATTCAAGTTGAATGATATGAGAAGATATAGAAGGACAATAGGATCTCTTGCATCTTCATGCTTAAAAGCGGCAACTCCTCTGGTTTCTTCACTGGACGAATCAGCTTGTCTGGCGGCACTTGACATTTTGGAGGTATTATAAATTTTAAGCATATAGTTTTTGGTTTGTGGTGCAAGATGACTCTACATTAGGAATTTGAATGTAACTACGTGCATTGTATATTCTCATACAAGAAAAATGGAGGATCCACAAATCAGAAGTAATCAATTAATCAGTAACTCATTTTATTTAAATGAAAACAAACATTAGTAGAATTTAAACCATTTGGTAATGAAATAATTTAAAATGTCATAGAATTTTACAAGAAATTTGACAGAATTAGAACTCAACAAGCAAACCTAGTTAATTTTTACAAATCACTTTTCCAAGATGTCCCTTTTTCATCAAATGAAGAGCACTGAATAACTCGATATAGATGAAATAAAATTAAGAATATTTTTTTTTGTTGTAAGAAAACAATTAGACCTCATTCCACTACCAAGGAGATGACTTTCCTTAGCATCAAATATTTGCATTTATAGCGCACATGAATAACTCATATGCACTCAGAAGAGTGAAAATCAGAAAAGAAAAAGATTATTTAAGCTAAAAATTGTGCATTACATGCCTTATATTATCAGATATAGACTCATCATTACTTGGGCTAGTAGATATTTTTTATACGGGATCAGCTTAAATTAAGAGAAAATAAAAACCCATTCAATTTCCAAAGCCACTTAAGCACATCTTGAATTTAAAATTTTAAAATAGATGCATGTACCAACTCAGCTCAAAAGAAAATGATCTTCTAAGAATTCAGCAAAATCCCACCTCATGTAATACATGGATCAACGCATTGCTAAGAATGTATGGTAAGGACCCGCCAGCCAACCGCATGAACTTTAGAGAATAATAACTAACATCTAAGAAGAGAAATCACATCCTCAAGATAGTCCATTTTCTTTTTTTTTTAATTTAATAAATAATTCCAAGCTTAAACTGCTGCTCCAAATAGTTGTTAGTGTCTGAACGTCAAGCAGTTGAAAAGTTGAGTTCATATTTTCTTCCAAAATGTTTTCCGGACGTAACTCGTGAGTTTTTTCTCAATCATTTAAATTCAATTTAACAATATGAGATGCATTAGTAGTTTAGTGGCATTATATGAAATGTGTCATTTTTAAAAATGATCCACCTTAGGAATAATAAAGCATGTTTTCTCAGTGTTTATGGTAAAATAGATGTTGTTTACAAGTAATTGGCAGAGGTATGTATAACTATGCGTTCTATATTCTACCCTTAGATTATTGACAAGTCCTACTTTATAAAACAATTTGTTTTGCTACCCTTAGAGTCGTTGCTATCCCGTTGTCCCAGCCCTCCGATCTTGCGGCCGCCACCTTGCTCTTGTTGCATCGTCCAAGACAACCATTCCCTGTCAACCGTTGTCACTTGCTTGCTGTATGTGGACCTTGCAACAACTGCCTTGCTGTTTTGACCTGTCAACTGGCCCTTCTCCACCACCCGAACACCTTCATGACCCTCGTCCCTCAACGACCACCGCCACCACCCTTCGATCCAGTCCTGTCAATAAGCGTTTGTTGCTATTTTGTTTTTCAATGTCTCTGATTGCAACTTCTTTTTGCTTTTGAGTAATAATATTTACTTTCCTTATTGTGGTTTGGGTTAACTCTGGTATCATTTGGTATTACAACTAGCCTAACCCTAGTCCTATCCTAAGGTATTTAGCATCCCCTATATCTCTACCCAAAAATTTTCTTTCTCACCCTACATCACCCCGTACACCTTCTTCCATACCCAAAACCCAAATCCTAGCCATGCCATTGAGGAGACAATAATTGGATGTTGATCAGGAGTTCATGGAAGACATACAGAGACAACTTTGCTACTATGGCTCGATGAAATTGAGAAAAAGAGACCATCTATAGCCACAACGATGGCTTGCTAGATTGAAGGAATGGAGTGAATCTTTTCCACTGCATGGATTCTAGAGATGAAGAATCTCTATCTCAAACATTTGATGTGAAATATTTAGAGAAGCCTAAATTTTAAATTAACAGTGGATTTGCCACATTTTGACCGTCACTTAGATCCGAATGAGTTCATCGAGTGGCTTCAGACTGTGGAACTTTTCTTTGCGTACCAGGGAGTCCCACCAGACGAAATGGTGGAACTAGTTGCCAACAAAGTAGAGTGCATTATTTCTGTGGGAAAATTTGAAATGCTTATGCCAACGTAAGGGAAAAATCAAGCTCATTACTTGGTCCAAAATGAAACGGGAGGTACAATGTTATTACCTACCAGCTTATTACAGACTAAATGTTCACGCCCTACCATCTAAAGTGGAAAGGCAGCATCATCTGATACTTCTTCACCTTACAGGCATTGTTCAACCCTAGGATTGAGTTGCAGGAGCACACCAAGTGAAACATTCAAGCCCCCATCTAAGGTAAAACTAATTCAGAGCGAAGAGCATGTGATATTAATCCACATTCTCAAATCCATCTCAGTCATGAAGTGTTCCATGGGTCACAGATTTGGGCATATCAAATAAGATTGCACAATCAGAAGAATGATTTTTTTTACTAATCAGAGAGCAGTTGATAAATTAAACAGTGATTCAAGAGAAGATGAAGATTTCAGAGAGGATTCTCAACTTCCAACCGACAAAGAAAAGGCATTAGCGATTCCAGTTGAACCCGAGAGAGAGAGAGACTCAAGTTGAGTTAACCATAGCTTTCTAGAGGGTAGTGAGTTTGAGATAATGGGTGTTCATGCAGCATATGAGATTGTTGCACTTCGAGCTACCATGTTGCAGACGTTGAGAGGAGCATTAGCAGGACTGATATTGGATGTCCAAAAGGGTCATGAGCTTGAGGTTTCGATATCAGACACAAACCAATCCCAAATAAGATAAATTCAGACTTTTCAGATAATATGCTACTTCTTGAGTTGTCCATATTGAGGTCCAACATGCCAGAGATGAGAAGCTTTTGAATTACTTCTGGAAGTCCCTATGGAATCATTTGAATATTAAATGGAATTCAACAGTAAATCCACCAACAGATGGTCAGAGAGGATGGATGAACTATAGCGTGAGAAATCGCCCCAGGATTTATGGGAAAAATAACATCCTATAGTAGGATCTTGCTCAAGTTGATTCCTCCTAGAAAACTTGTTTATCATATACATCCGAGTACGAGGATCGGCAGAAGCATATTATAGATTTACTTCATTGGGGTTGAGAATCTATCAATATGCAGCTCTAGTTCAAGTTGTGTCAAAAGTAGATGCATACTTATTCTATCAGGATGTGCTTTTGAATGAAAACACCTACATGATTAACTCATTGGGAGCTTTCAATATTTTTTATACCTTCAATAGGGTCAAACTGACTACTATGAGACAAAAGCTTTGACAGATGAAATTGAAGTTACCCTAACTTCAAGAGATCGGTGCGGGAATGGTCTCAGAGAAGTTTTTGCAATCATTGTTGTAGTATTGCTACAACATCGCGAACTCCTGTGAGCGAGGGTGGTTTTGACCGGTCCAAGAGGGTCGATTGGATTTCCCTTCTATTTGGAGTGGGGTCCACTCCTATTTATCCTAAGTCTCTAAATATTATGTTTTTTTTAAGGTGTTTTTGTCTCATATTTTTTTCAAGACAGCTGTCAGCATTCGATGTTCTCCTTTTAGAGTTGTATCCGAAGGCGAGAAGGTGTTTCGATTGTAACTCGTTAGAGGTGGTGACCTTCTTCAAGGGTTTGAATGGTGCTCTGCCTGTAGATCGATTACTTGGGGATAATTTATCTTTACCCAACTCCTCTGCATTCCTCACGCTTCGCTACCTGACATCCCTCTTTGTTGACGCCTTTTAGAACCATAAGGAACTATTGTTCATGCCTACTCCATCTGCCTTATTCACTCTTTCAAGTCTTGCCCGCTGATTCATGCCCATTTCAACCATCCATAATTGTCGTTGCTACTATTCCGGAACTCCCTACTTGTTTCCACCGCCCAGAACGGCACGAAGTTGCTGCTATTCTGCTGTCTCAGCTCTTCGCTTTTGCATTCGCCACCTTTCTCTTGTTGCCATCATCCAAGACAGCTATTCCTCGCCCATCGCCGTTGCTTGCTAGCTTTCCAAGTAACCTGAAACAACCGCTTTGTTGTTTCTGCTTGTCAATCGACACTTTTTCACTACTCGGTCGCCTTCCTTACTCTCTCTGACCACCACCACCACCTTTGATCTAGTCCTAGTTGGAGCTAGTGACGTATTGCTATGTTCAATCTCTGTGTTTCTGATTATAACATCTATGTGCTTTTGAGTAATAATATTTGTTTTCTTTATTTTGGTTTGAGTTAGTTGTGGTATCAGGGCATTAAATAGATAATCATTTTTAATCTTGTATTATTAAGCAAATTTCAGTCATTGTTGAAATGGTTTTTATTATATTAGCAAATCTCATCAAATCCTTTCATTTTGACTTTTTTTTATTTTACCAAAAACAGTCACCTCATTGATACTTTATTCAAGATTTGGGAAAATTTTTGTCAAAACTAGCGCTATTTGTGGATATATATATATA